TATGTACCTACCTAAGTGGATATGGTGCCTAGATTACAGAACATTTAATTGTAAGGTTAATTTTATCTTAGTAGAAAGGAAATATCCCTTAACATATGCCTTGGGAACACCTAATCGTACCTACTACAAAGAATTAAAAAAGTAATAATCCATAGTTATAAAATGTATTAGAACCTAGAAGCAGCTTGACATGCAAGTCTTACAAAAAACTGTAAGTACTTACGTAGGTAATTATTAGTACCTAAAACGAACTAGGTAATACGTTCTCAATCCCATAATAAATTTTCATAAATATTGATAAACCGACTAAAATGAAGTTTAGGCTATATGGTAATTAGAGTGTATGACGTCATAACAGCAACAAAGGTAGTTATTACTTAGTACTACCCGTCCTAATAAATCCCTCAGTTTCGCCTGCGACACCCACGGAATGTGACAGGGTGGGTCTATTCATAGCCAGGTCGAGTACACCTATACACAGACGCAAGTACATACTTAATTACTTGTACTTAAGTACCAATGTATTGTGAACGTATGGTTCCATATTAATGCGCTTGTGTGCAATAATATAATCGCTTTAACTGCTCTGAAAAGTGGTATTTGTTAATTGTTACCGGTTTGCTAATTGCATGTTTAGGTGCAAAAAAATGTAGCATTTTTCCTTTCGTATATAAAATTTATTTGTGGACATTAATAAAAAATAATATTCCTACCAGTACGAATATAAATAAATATCACACACCTCTAGCAGGTAAGTAGGTAGCTAAGAATAATTTTAATATCAACTATTTCTGAATGAGGAAAAGGGGCTGATATTCTAAAAATGTACTAACTTGAATAAATGTAGGTATAACTATTGCCATTTTACCAAAGAAACCGATGTCTGCATTTATAAAATCTTCCTAATTATTTTTTCACCCGGAACGAACTAAGTACTACGCCGCATAACAGCCTCATTGCATACGACTATTGACTGAAATTCCCTTAAAGCCTTTATACAATTCCAGCCTGATTTTATAACGAGATAAACCTACAGCTTATTACCAGAGTGTTTTGAACACATTAAAATTGCTAATACTCGTCCCGTCAACTGTTCGGTTTCAAATCACACCTCGAGATCTTGAATTAAACATCGACCGCCTACCTACGTGACATTATTTTTCGTGTACCAAAAATAATACATAAACAATCAATTTTTTTTCATAAACATTTAACTAAATTAATTTACCGAATTCACCGGAATTTTTGTGGAATCGTTCTTGAAATTTCGGTAAACTGACAGACTTGCATTATGGGAGTTTATTAGCAATGAATTTATAAATAAATATAAGCTTTTTTTCATTGTTTCAGGTAGAGAGGTAACAGATATCACGTGTTTGTTAAAGATACATATGGTAATGTAAAAAATACAGCACGTAGACTATTTTAAGATGGAGTAGGTAGTATAGGAGCATTTTTTGTTCAATTCAGGTAATGCTATGCGTATTAAATGTTTTGTCGACACACGTTTTCATTTTACATTAGTTGGTATATTATACTATCAGGTAGGTACTTATAAAACAATTAATATGAGTGTAGGTAACAAGATGTTTGGTGAAAGGTACGTAAGTCTAAAAAAGACAAGTATATCATCTTTTACTAGTCATGTTTCTCATTAGCCTATTATAAAAGGGGTTGTTTTAAACCATCAGTTTTATGTGTCTACCTAAGCACCTACTCAGATATAGATACTGGATATAGTTTAATTATTTCCCAGTTCCGTTTAACAGACCTAATTTTTTATTTTTTTTTTCGACTTAGTCACCTAGGTAACTATTTGACGAGCAACACGACTAGTTTCAAGCCGTGATGGAGGCTCATATTCATGAAACGCGATGCTAGAGATTCATATCCATAATCATAAAAGTTATACTTAACATAGACCTGATTTTTTAGGGATATTGTTTTTTTTTTTAATTCGACCGTGTTTTTTGCCGCGTAGTTGGCTAATTGAATCTATTCTTCGTAGACTTCTCACTTCTCTAACTTCTCTCAGAAAGTAAACGTAGGTACTAGAGTTACATAATTACTTATGCATCCGATATACATATTACTGTGTTACATAGGCGTTTTAATTAACTACAAGCTTCAATAATAACGAGAATTGCAAAAACGTTTATCATCAATTAGGTATCTATACTCATTAAGAGCTTAGAATATTCATACTCACACAATTACATAGATATCTGTGAGTTATTTTTTCTAGAATTGAAAAAATAATAATGATTTGTTTTTTTTTAATTAAGTCATTGATTTGTTTGCTACCAACATTATTGCTTATCTATAAAAAAATGACAAAAAAAATGTACTAGGACAGCTGAATTAAAAAGGAGTCCTCTATTCAAGTAAGTGTTATGCTTATAAGGTCCCATTACCATAACGTCTTTGGTGGCGCCATTGTCAGTATAATTCGCATCAACCTTACGCGCCTACGCACAAATCAATTATAATACCAGTAATAAATTAAACACTGTTTGCGATAGATATCGATCGCTTTGATAAATGGATCTATCCTGAATGTGTATCGGGAAATCTCGGCACAAGATGGCCGCCCGTTGCGCGGGAATGCGCCTGACGTATGAAAGGGTTCCTTATTTGAATTTTTGTATGTCGAATATTGATTAACGGTAAATTGGAATTGTGTTTAGTAAGTTTATTGTCGAATTAGATTTTTTGAGATAAACAATGAAGTCGTCAATATTTTATTTGATACGTTTTAATTAAAATGAATAAATACCTAAGAAGATAACATTGTACCTACCTAATGCATATGGTATATACATAGGTAACATGATAACGACTTTTGTTGAACTGGTTGCAATATAATCTGGTTAAAAAAAAACATTTAAAAAAACAATCGACCGTGGTCTTAACAGATGATACCTAAAGTACATAACAATTATTTTTTTTTGATCATTAATAATAAAATCTCTCATTTCGTACAAAATTCATAGTTTATAAGAATTTAGTGAAGCAGTCTTTATTAAAGATCTTAATTCTTTTACACGGTATTCACATAGCGATTATCAAATGTCACGGGTTGCGAATAACGGCAATTCCAATTTGGATTTCTTAAAGGGAAATTAACTTCTTGATTAAAAAGTGCTTTTTATTGATTTCAACTAATCGAAATTAAGGCCAAATCGGTGATACGCATTCTTAACAGTCATCTATGATTCAATACTGTTGACAGTTTCATTTTTTTTTCTCTGTTTTGACAATGGACACGCTTGTCATCTGCTTTCTGGTAAGAAAAAAAAATGGTGGCGTGATTAGGTAGAAAATTTCATTTTTTTTAAAACTATAGGTACCTAGTATTATGGACGAAATCACGTATTTAAATAATACATTTATCGTAAATATCTAGATTATCAAATTGAAAGAAAAGTGCAGATAGGTACCTACCTAATTTTTTATGGAGTCAAGAATCCTTTTCTAGATGACATCAATCAAACTTTTGTCGAAACGTGTTTTGAAAAGGGGAGACAGGTGACCATTTACATTTAAATGCACCTACAGCTATATATAATTAGGAATATATGAATACAATATCCAATTAAAACCAGAACCATTAATAATTAAATCATTTTTAAATAGGTACATATTTATTCGCATCCTTCGAAACCTTATCTTCTAATGACAAGGAAATACGGAACAGTGAAGTATCAAATCACCCACAAGAGGTCGTGAACTTGCTTATAATAGCGTCATTTGAAATGTAACAAACGATTTTTAGTGAAGCATTTCTATCATCACTTCTTTCAATAAAATATGTCTTTGAATCAAAATCGAGAAGAGTGAGTTACTTAAGAGAAGTAACTGAGAAGAGAAGAGTAATCGTAATCGTAGGTACTTAAGGAGCATAAGGTAAACGTGACTAAAGTCAATAAAATAGGAAGACAAACACGATATAAAACTTTCAGTTGTCGTGTAAAATTAAACACTTAGCTCTCGTTTTTTATCAGACTCTTTTTCTAAAGCCACCTCGTGTAGGTATTTTAGTTCGATGTGAAAGTGCAATAAAACCATAAAATACTAACTGTATAGAATTTACTGTTTTTCTGCTCTTAAAAGAATTCCAAGTCAACGAAATTAATTACCTAGGTATGCCACTTTTTATCTTGTTTAAAAAACTTCGTCTTATATAAAAATTCGCGCGCGACGGAACATTGAATCTTAGCTGTTTTGCCATTTTAACAAGTGCTTTTGAGGAGATAAATACTATGTCGACTTAGAAGGCTGCTTGAAGATGTCTTTATAATAATTGAACCAAATATTTAAAAAGTTTATAGGACTTAAATTTCGAAAAAAATCCTATATTTTACAGATTTACCTAAGTGCTCAATTTCTGAATGGAAGTTAGGTAACAGTTACAAAAAATAACAGGTAAATGTGTCCATTTACACAAAAAGTTGCAATATACGAAGTCATTAATCGAAGAACAGGTGATTTTGACCTGTTCTGAATATTTCATTGACTTTGCAATTTTACGCAACTGGCGGAGTTCAACTTGCGGATTTTTTATTCACTTTTAATTCGACAATATTACTTTAAATGATACGAAATGTGACAATATAACCCGTACAAACAAGTCCGGTCCATGGAAATAACTTCAATTTATTGTTTGTTTACATAAAATGTTGCAAACTGACCTCCCTTAGTGAAGACAGGTGATTTTCTTGCAACTAATGAAGAAAATACAACCTTTCAAATAAACGAGGAAAAATAACTAATGTCTTAGTTAGAAAAGTAGTACACCTACTCGTAGGCCCGAGGAAAATAACTTCGTAACTATTCAACGAACTTTCGGCTCCAATTTGTTTCGACCAAAAACAATGTCAATATTTTTCGGAAGTTTCTGGCTTTCTCCAAGTAGACTAAAAAGATCTTAGTTCCGCATTTACCTAATTATCCTTCTCCCAACAGGATCCCAATAAGAAAACTTAAAAGTAAATATTAACCTGTGAGCATCGCCCGCAGAACGCAGCTAAACTGTTAATTGCGGCATAGCACGCAGTCACTTTAATCACTTGTCCAGTATCCAGAACTTAGAACTTATACACTCGAGTGTGGTCAGTCAAAACACAAGTAACTTCGTGATTACACCAAACACCCACTGAACTGTTAATGAGGAACTAAAGTTGTGTTGTTGGTGTGAGTTTGTCGTTCGGTGCGGTCGGTCGCAGCACGCGCGACGCAGCACAGTCAACGGTTGCCGGCACACTGCGCGGCCGGCGCGGCGGCCCCCCGCCCGAGCCGCGCGCCCCGCGCCCCGCAGGGGGCGTGGCGAGGGCCGGAGCGAGTCGAGGCGATGCGAGCGCTTAATTACGCTCGCCGGCCGAAGCGGGACGGCGATAGCGAGTGGGCGCGAGCTATTAGCGCGCGGAGAGCGGGACGACGCGCGTCTTAAGTATTTTGTATAAGTAATGAGGGGCGCGGGCGCGGGGCGCTGCATCTCCCGCCAATCTTTAATGTTGATTACGGCCGCCGCCGCCTCTGAGCGGGCCTCATTAACGCGAGGCCCCGCCCGCATTTAATTACACGCGTTTAATTGTCGCTGCTGCCGCGCGCTATTGTTTTTGCGCGGATTCCAGCGTTCGGATTTGGAACACGATCGTTCTGTTCGCGGCCGACATGATTGTCTCGTCATGTAATTGGTGGAAAACTCTATCAAATGGATGCTGGGAACATGGCGTGTTATGATCTACCTATGCTTGTTAATTAACTTAAGATAACAATCGTTCCTTTCTAGTAGATGCCTATAATATTGTCAGTTTTATCAGTATCTAGCAAAAGACAAATTAAATATTTTTGAATAAAACTCATCCTTGTTGCTGTATTAAATATAAGAAAGATAGTAGGTAGGTACTTACCTAAGTAACAAGAACAAAATAAACAAAGGTAATGAGTATTTGGTATGCCTACCTAAATAAAGAAAATAGGTACGTATCTACTTATTAAACTGTCAAACACCGAGCGGTCACCGGTGACCGCAACCTATTGTTCTATAATTGTGTCTATAATGACGGTACTCGACGAGTTAAGTAGGTATTACTTATTTTTGTAAGTACGTACCTAACACCTACCTAGATATAATATCAACTTTCTTTCTATTCTTTCAATATTTTAATAAATGAATAGTTTGAAATTAATTAATATCAGTGAATGAGACAGATTTAAATCTTTGACAACCAAAACTTACTTAACCAATTTTTGCTTATGACCGTTGAGTGCCGTTGAGACCTACTATAGGTACGTTAAGTGTGGGAGAGCCATGCTTCAGCACGAATGGGCCGGCTCGACCGGAGTGATACCACGGCCGAGGAGAAACCCGACGTGAAACAACGCTTGCGTTGTGTTTCGTCGTGTAAGTGAGGTTACCGGTGGCCCAATTACCCCCCCCCCCCTCTCAGACTCCTCAAAGCTCGAATCCCCCACAATTATCAAATTCCCAAAACGCTGGTAACGCACTGGTAACGCCTCTGTTGTTGTTGTTTTATGGGCGGCGTTGATTACTCATCATCAGGTGATCAGTCTGCTCTTTTACCGGCTTATATGGCTATGGCCGTTCTACATAAGTGCTCCTTTCACCTGTGACACAGGATATTCTTCCTAGTACAGGCATTCAAACGTAGTGGGATCACTGATTTTAAATTAAGATGTTTATCTGTACTATGACCAATTTCTTATAATGAATAAGGATTTATTATTTATTATTACATAATATATTAATTATCTAAGTAGTTTTTTTTTTATTTTAAGGACAGTTATAAAAGAAAAGAGTGTTAATGAACGAAAAAAAATTGAAGATTTTCACAGACATACCTAGATCCTACACCTTGAAACTTACACCTTGGAATGAGCAAATAGCTTCACTTCGCATTAGGTATTTAGTTAGTTAGTCTACTTATGGAAGAAATGTCAAGTATTCAAAGTTATTCCTCTGATAAAATTTCACTGAGCATTGAAAAATCCGATTTTTCTAAGAGAAAGAAATAGAGGTTGACAATTGTTAATTAAACCAACTGTTAAAAATATAGTAGGCATTCAGCTATAGGTAGAAAATATCAAAAATGTATTGTAACCTCCTCTCCTAATAAAGCCCGGAACTTCACATCTTAAAAGACATTACAAAAACGAACCAGTCAAACAAGTAACAAATAATTCTAAAATATAACCATCGATGAATAATAATAAATAACAGATGTGCCATAACGTTATTATTAATGGCTAACTCGTTATGTACCTATGGCAATGACATTATGGCTACTGTTTGGTTGCACAATACCTCTGATGGTAGCGAAAGGTTAAGGAAATTGTTTAAAATTAGTGAAAATAAAAAAAAAAATAATAAGATAGGATAAGATAAATAAGATCATTTATAAACTAGCTAAGGATGTGATGTGAAAATTATTTGAGTAGCAGTATCGGTTTCATTTAAAGACGAATGAGACGGTTATTAATTATTATGAAACCCGTATTTATCAGCGATGTAACATTACTCCACTGAGATGTCGCGGAGGACCTAACGGGTTACCGGGGCCCCGGCTCGACGTGCAAGAGAAGGAACGGGGTGGTTTTTAGTCAGTAAGAATCTGACACTCCCTCCTGCCTCACCCAGGCGAGAGCAGCCATTCGATGATTTTGCACCATTAAAAAAAAGTCCACTGAGGTCTACTAACATTCTACGTACTAACTTAGTAACTCAGTCAATTGGATCACAATATAAAACTACAATTGTTCGTTCATTGATATCAAGACACAGGATATAGAAATTATCTACCTGCATGTCAATTGTAGAATTAACAATACAATAGTTTGGAAAAGATATTTTTTTAAATTTGACTTGATTCCAATATAAAAAAAATATGTACTTATGTACGTAAGGTAGGTACACTTTTATCCGGTTTAAAGTGAGCCGTGGAGAACCTAAGGGGTAACCGGGGCTCCGGCTCGATGTGCAGGAGTAGGAACGGGGTGGTTTTTAGTCAGTAAGAGTCTAACACTCCCTCCCGCCTCACCCAGGCGGGAGAAGTCATTCAATGTCATTAAATTTTCCCCCTTAAAAAAACAGTGTAACGTAATTGGGCCTCCAGTAACTTCACTCACACGACTGAATACAACGCAAGCGATGCTTCACGTCGGTTTTCTGGGAGGCCGTGCTATCATTCCGGTCGAGCCGGCCTATTCCTGCCGAAGATGGTTCTCCAACTTTGAGAAGCTTAATTTTTGCACCTATTTCATTATTCTATATTATGTATCTCTATCAATAATTATTCAATACTTATCATTAGGTAGGTATAATGAGTATTTTGATATCGAAAGTTGATACTCCTTGAACTGATGACATTCCTAGATATTTAGAAATGGAGTTGTATTGATACGAGTAGCCAACAATCAACAGAAAAATAGAAGTAGTAAAAATATAATGACATAATGTCATCACAGACGAATAGCCAGTTAAAATTACAAGCACAAATGTCATAAAAAGAAAAAAAAATGTACGGTGTTGCCAATTATATTTCTTCAGACACATTAGGAGCAAGGGACGGAAGTGGGCTATTTGACGCTCAAGCTATGGGCAACCTTACATTATAAACGGCATTCATTTTTAATTCTCTACGATTTTATTGACTACTTTTAAGTTTATTCAGAATACGGTCGTTGACTAACTAAAGACAATTTACTTTATCAAGATCAAATCCAGTTCCAAAATGTAGATAAGCTATCTAGGCGTTTAAGTTATGCTTCATTTTAGTCTCAACGTCGCAATAAATCCATATTTTAATTAAAGAGTTCAAATTAATTGTCTAATATAAACAAGCAAAAATTTCACGATACAATAAATGAACGAACTTTAAAAAATGTAGGTACGTTCTTAAACCCATTCGTAGAAGCCTAAACAATTTCAAGATACAAAAGAAAAACCATTCTATGACTCTAATCATACGTCCTAATCTTAACTAATCAGATAGTGTAGTTACGACCCTTGTACTCTATAAAGGATTTACGCGGGAAACAACCCTAAAAGTAGAACTAATGTGAACCCCGCCAACAGATGGCGGTAACTATAGCACTGATGTGTGGATGAGCAAAGAGTTTGGATTGCTAGAGAATTTGAAGAACTTGAAATATGTATTATTTGGATTGATATACAGTTCTTATTGAAAGCTTTGTCGAAATGAATAATTGACCTCAATCAATAATCTGTGGATTAAATTTGTTGACAATATTTTTATGGAATTTTGGCAAAGATAAAGATCGATCTGGAGAGTATTTAAATCCCTTATCGATTTCTATTTACCAAAAAAAGTCGTGTATAACCCGACAACGAAGAATTTTAAATAAAAATCAAGCATTTTTATAGAAAAAATGAAATAAGTAGGTAAAATATTTAAGGAAAAAAAGACAATCTGATCACCTGCTGCATTGATATCTCGTGGAAACAGCCAAAGTAGGTCTCAAATGCAAGTCATATTATAAAAATTGCATTATACAATAAAGTAGGTACTGAAACTATTCAAACTAGAATAATGTTACAGATAGTATGTAGAACATAACACATTATACAGTTACGAAATCACCCTACACGTGTTGGAAAATCGCATCAACAGGAATTCATGAATCAGTAGGTAGCATAGACAGACATGACCAGTGTATTGTTTTAAATATTTTACTACCTAAGACATAGAAGTAAATCGAAGCAATCTATTCAATGTTTTAAACTAAGGAATTTTCCGTTCATGAATGGAAAATTTTATACAAAAACGTCAAGGAAAATTTAAGTTATAACTATTTTTAGTGATCATCTTTATTCTAATGTGATGCCGATACCTATATGGGATATTTAGATATACAGTAGTCACGTGCTTTCCTATGGATATATTAGCAAAGTACCAAAATATGTATGTTGATTACGTAGCTTATAGTAGAAGCTGGGTATTGCTGACACAAAAGTACCTGCTAATAAGACTAGAAGATTAAAAAAGTAAACGTTTGATTTAAATGCCACACTTTTTATCAATAAGGTCTGAATCCTCATGTCTATTGCACTAAAACTCCTATGAAACAGCAAGTTAAAAGGAGACGAACGACGGCTAAAACAAAACTTCATTTCAAGAAATGGCACAAGTCTTGCATAGATCTGTATGTACTAATTCCAAATTATCTTTTACAAATATGTTTATCTCTGATTCAGAGCTCGCAAGTTACA